TGCGGAAGGTAGGAGGCTTCTGTGCGAGGACTACGTTCGCCAGCCATGAGGGGTATTTTACCTCCTTGATGTGCTTAATAGAGAGGAGCATGGCGACCTCCTTCTTCACAAATTCCATCCTTTCGGCGGAGAGGGATCTTCTTCGTTGTTATAATGCTTTTGCCGAGGGGTCCACCGAGAGGCGGTGGGTGATGACCCTTCGGCTTATTCCCGGCATGTTCTCCGGCCCCCATGCAAAGACAGTGGAGTAGGCGCGGAGGGCGTTGGTGATACCGGTCTTCAGATCTTCAGGGAGCTGGGCTCCAATCTTCACGACTCTCTCCGGCTTGGCCGGATCGAGCGCCAAGTCTTCTACGTCCTCGGCTGGTTCAGCCCTCGGCCTCTTTTCTTCTTCATCGATGGTTCCGGTGATGGTGTCAACACGGAACTCCGTCTTACTTACTTTCTTCGTGACTTGAAGATAGCAAGCGCGGGCAATTTTCTGATTCCCCCGGGAGTAGCCAATGCCCCCTTCGGCGGGGAACTTGAGGCAGAGGTGCCTCATGGAGATGACGGCTTCGAGGTCCTCTAGGGCTGGCCGGCCGAGGATGATGTTGTGGGCGTAGTCGATGTTGACGACGACGAACTCCACTTCGAGCTGGGCTCTATGGAGCCCGTCGCCGAAGATTACCGGGAGGGTTATTACCCTCTCGGAATCAATAGTATCGTCGGTGAAGCCGGCAAGAGGGGTCTTAATGGGCCGAAGGGTCCCCCTCTCCAGATGCAGCTCTCTAAAGGTGCTGAGGTACATTACATTGACGGAGCTGCCCGTGTCAATGTAAGTTCGGTGAATGATGGTGTCGTTTATTTCAGTCCGAATCACCAAGGCATCCCTGTGAGGAGAAGAAGTAAGAGGGAGATTTGCGTTGGTGAAGGTGATGGGTTCCTCCCTCAGCCGCTTTACCGGGGGCATATGAGTGACTTCCCCCACGTAAAGCGATTGAGCCCACTTTTTCCGCTGACTGGTGGAATCGCCCCCTGTATTGCCACCGGTGATCATGTGGATGTGGCGTTTTTCTCCTGGTAGTGGGGGTACTCCTCCTCTTCCTCCTCCAAGTTTCCGATCTCCCTCTTCTTGCCGAGGGGGATGGTGTTCGGGTTCACCCAGGCGTTCACCTTCGTGTGGTGCCCTCGGGGAGGTCCCTGATGAGAAGGTCCCTCCTGCCGAGGGCTCTGGATAAATTGGGACAGGTGCCCCGCTTGTATCAATCTCTCGATGGCCGTCTTTAGCTGATGGCAGTCATCGGTTCTGTGCCCCTGGTGCCGATGGAAACGACAGTATGGGAACTGAGGGTTGATAGCATGTACCTCCGGGGGTGCGCGAGAATCGCGCTCAACGAGGCCCCTCTCCTCGGCAAAATCAAGGATGACACTGACGGGGTGCGTCAATGGTGTCCGGGGGCGGTCCAGGAGAATGGGTTGTGCCCAAGTCTTAGGGTTGTTCTTATAACCTCCCCCGGGCTTGGCTTGGCCTTGCCGAGGGCGGTCATCAGAGGGTCCTGAAGACTTGGGGTGATTTGGAGGAGCCCCCGGCCCCTGGTTGTTCTTGTTGTCAGCCTTCGGGGGCTGCTAATCTGGATGCTGGTGGTATTTTTCTACCTCCTCGGCCTCGGCGTATCGGCCCCACCGCTGCAGGGCCCTTATGTAGTCGCGGGGGGGGGGGGGGGGGTTCAATGATGAGGCTCCTTGAAAAGTTGCCGGTGCGGAGGACGGTTTGTAGGAGGGCCAGGAGGGTCCCGTCGTCAGCACCGTCGACTTTGTCGGCTTCCGTTCTCCAGCGCTCCAGGAAGTCCCGAAGGGTCTCATCCCTCCTCTGGCGTATGGTTAGGAGGTGGGAGAAGTGCTTCCTCGTGCGACGCCTCCCGGCAAACTGCGTCAAGAATCGCTGGGCGAGTTCTTGCCATGAATCAATGCAGCCCTCGGGCAACCGGTTGAACCATTCGTATGCCGGCCCCTCTAAGGTGGAGAGGAACCAACGACACAAATATTCGTCTGACGCCCCTACCATCATCATGTTGTTCTGATATTTGTTGTAGTGTTCCTGAGGGTCCGTCTTCCCGTTGTAGGGCTGTATGTGTTGCCCTCGGTATTTTTCCGGGATCCGGGCCGACAATACCCTTGGGGTGAATGGCGTCTGGGTCCGGAGCTGGATGATGGGTTCCCCGGAGCCCTCGGCTACCTTCTTCTGCAATTCCTCCATTTTGGCCATCATGGCCTCGTATTTGAGGTCTGAATGAGGGGTGGAGGTGGTGGCGTGAGCTTTGTTGGCCTCCATTTCATCAAGTCGGCGTTGGAGGGCCGCAATAATTTCGTCCCGGGGGTCCTTCGGGAGGGTCTCCGCCCCCTGCGAACGAACCCGGGCTGAGTGAGCCTGGTTGATTTGGTGGCGAGCATCGTCGGCATGAAGGGGTGACTTGCCTTTGTCCCGAGGAGGACGCTCCTCGTCTGCCCTCGAGACAGACCCTCCGCTTTCCTGGGGCCTTTGGAGTGCCTTTCCTCCGAGGCGGTCTTGGACCCCTCAGCGGTCTTGCCCCCCTTCGAGCCGGTTGAGGGCGGAAGTGCGGGGCCTTTCTCTGTTGTCATTGTGGCGGTCCCGGGACTGAACTTCCTGGGAGGCCGTATCTTGGGCCACTACCCCTTCTTCATTCCCAATCCGAGGGATGGGATTTCCGAAGGGGTGTGGCAGAGGGGGAAGCATGATGTTCTCCCCAACTTGGGGTGGAGCCGGAGCCAGGGTGCCGAAGGCACCCGGGTTCTGAGTTAGCGTCTGGATGAAGGCAGAGAGCGCCGAATGAACGTCGATGGTGAGAACCGGAGGGCTGACTTGGTCATCGCTCCGGTTTTTCTTCTTGGCCTCGATGCCGAGGCGGGCATCGGGGGCATTCTGCTGAATCTGAAGGCGTAGGTCGACAGCCGCCTGTTCCAGCCCAGCGATGACACCGCCCTCGGGAGCCCTGTGAGAGGCTTCGGGGGCGTTGACGTCGCCGAGGGCCAGGTTCTTGTCTTCTACGTTTTTGGAGTTGGCACGTGTTGTTCTCACGATTTTGGTAGAGGGCTAGTGTTTGGCGAAGGGGGAGGGTTTCTTACTTGATCGTTCGACCTCTCAACGAGAGCACCAAATGATGGATAGTGTACCCGGAGGGTAGCTTATCCGAGGGGTTATTGCGGAGAATAACAAGAGAGAAGTCAGAGCAAGTAAATATAGAGAGAGAAAGTATATTATGAAGTGTGGAGAGTTTTCAGCGTTTATGACTTGGTTACAAAAAGGGGAAATGGGGTGCTATTTATAGTAGCAATAAATGCCGGACAGGGACACGTGTCAAGCGCCCATTGGCCGAGAGGTCACCTCAACTGGTTGGCACTGACAGCCGCATGTGGCCGCATTTAATGCGGTTGTTGGATGGGACGTTGTACAGGGTACGGTGATCTGTACGCATGTGGCGCGGATATTATGTCGGGAGAGGTGCCCTCGGCTGCAGAGGACTAGCCGAGGGCTCTGAGTGTCGGGGACCCCCTGGGTGCCGAGGGCTACTGTTTTCTGTCGTTTTTCTCCCAGTTTCTTAGTTTGCTTGAAAAACCTGTTCTGTGAGAGTTTTGAGCCTTCGGCCAGGGTGCCGAAGGCTCCCCAGTGTGGGCTGCTAAGTGTTTGGGGCGCCGTAATTTGGACCTGCTGTGCTTCCTGGGCCGGTTGGGCCTTTATTGGTGTAGTAGGAGTCTGTGGGCCGGGGGTTTGCGGGCCATATACTCCATCACTATCTCTATAATGTCAATAAATATCTATAAGGATATGTGTTTTGCCACTCTAGACACTCCAAGCATTTACACCGCCATGCCCTGAGCTTGAAGCACATTTACTTCAAACAAAATGTTATTTGTGAGCTCAGTTTCTTTTTATCCAAGAAACAATCAGACAAGCTCATTTGAGACTATTTCTGAAATAATTAAACAAAACATGTTTTTTAAATATCAAAGAAGAGTTGTTAATTTTAGTGTAATGGTAATAATTATTTTAATTTTTATGTGCTTAAAATCACTTTTCTCAACAAAACAAAAATAGTTAGAGAATGATGACTTGTATAAGTAATCTCAAGAGGGGTTAGCCTCAACAAATAAAACTACCATATACAGTTATCTTGTAGTATTATGGGCTTGTATAACTTTTCGGGACTTGCTCCAGACTCCATTTGTGTTGTGCTTTCCAACCACACAAACTTTGTACCTCTTTGGGAAAATAAACACTGGGCTTCACTTGAGTGATCAAAATTTGGTTGGGTGTCATTTGACATGTAAACTACGGGAAATGGAAAGTAAATCGAGAAATCGATTTTGAACAGTAAACTAACAAAAATAACTGGTAAAATGATATTCGACATATAACTTTTCTTTTTAATTTTGGCTTCAAAGTTATAACTTATTGCCAATATATTTCACTGTAAATAGCCAAAGTTCATATAAAATGTGTCAATTGGTGTTAATTTTTAAACCGTGGGCTAAAAAAAATCTTTTTAAACTCGTTGTACAATCAATTATCATAATGAGTTAACACCTCAAGTGGAGAAGTTAACACTTCAACAGGTGTTATTTAGTCAGCATACCTAAATGGGGTAAAAAGATGAAATAACAGGTGTACAATCCATTGTTATCAACTATGAAATCCAAATTTAAAAACCTTATGTGAATGTTTATACAAAAAAAAGAATATAAAAAAGTATTTGTTGTCCTGTAGGTTTGCATGCGTTGGAAACATTACAGGTTTTATATCTTTCAAGCATTGCAAAACAAATTAAAGATATATCACCACAAATAAATAGATGCATCCCTGGATATATATAAATAGGGAGAAGGTCGTTGAAAAGTTTCTCAGTTGAGAAATATACCTTGTAATAACAAAAACAAAACTTTTATGATAAAACTTATAACTTCATTTGAGTTAGTTTTACTCAACTATTTAGATTTAAAAAGCCTATGTGAAGTTACAACTTTTGTACTAAAAGTCATACTTTTGTTACAACTAGTATAAATTACTATGTATATTTTTCTGTGATTTTTTTTCCACTACATATATACATGTATATTTAAAGTACTGCTCTAGACATCAATCGACATAATATTAGTTCTCATGAGTTACTATTTTTTGTTTAATTTCAGGGCTCCTTATGAAAAGAACAGAAGACCATGAAGATTCATGTCGCTGCATGTTGGTATATATACAACCTAGTGATCATCTACTGGAATAGTAAGCTGCCTCATCACTCCCTGTATAAATTGAATATAAGAAATCAATCAACACATAAACTTCATTATTATATGAAAGGAACTTTCCCAAAATAAGAGTGAAAATATTGTGATACTTCAAAATATGAGTAATATATTCCCCCGTAAACAGGAGTAGATTACTGTTGAAATCATATTGTCACTACTCGACATTAATATGACTGTCATATTAATGCCATAATTGATAGTATATTCTAAGCATGACATGAAATACTCAATTTGGGAGTGAAATATAACGGTCCTATTTTGAAATATCGTATTACGTGCTTTTACTCTTATTTAGAACAATTTGTGTATGACTTACCCTTATATGAATGTATGCTTTCATCATCATGACTCATGCATCCATATTATTAGCACCATTAGGCTCCTCTAATAACAAATGTGTTTCATCTGAACCAACATTAGATGGGCTTGAAATATGAGAGTTTCCTTGATGGACAATAGTTAATTCCTCCATATTATTATTGTTCCCATCAATGGAGGGTGCTGGTTCAAAATGATCATACCTTGTTGCTGATGGTTCTTCATGAGGGCTGACACATTCTGACACATCAACAGATGATGGTAAGTAGTGGGACCTCATCAGTTCTTGATATTCTTCATCGCCATGGATTTCAAAGTCCTCCCCTTCTTCTACATATGCATCATTTTCATCTCTCTGATCATCTAAAGGTCCAAATTTAAGCCTATAAGCGTCAAGCTCATCCTCCAATGCCTTCATATCCTCCTCTTGCTTTGCAAGCATTTCCTTCATCAGCTCTACTTCCTCTTGGTCAAACTCCACCTCCTCCTCCATCATTCTCTGGTACTGCAATGCCTCCATTTGGAGGGCAGCCTTCTCATCTTGCAGCCGAGTTATCATTGCCATCGCGTTGTTTGCAGCGATGGCAGAAGCGTTTCTTTCCTCATCCAGTTCCATGTACAATGCCACGAGAGATTTGCGGTCCAAACGTACCTGCTTCTTTAAACGTCCAAGGATGTCCCCATCTCCTGCAACTTCAGTGCTATCTGTAGGATCTGATGATGATAATGAAAGAATGACATCCATTGGAAGCCTAGACAACCTTGGGCTCGCTTGAGCTGAATCCGTCAATGGGATACCGAAAAACTTGTTTCCTCGAATAAAACTCGGGGTCTTACAAGCATCTTCTTGGACTCCAGATAACTTATTAGAATCATCTCTACCTGCATATATGCAGACACATAGTCACCATGATTTAATAAACTGATAAAACTAAATAAGTGTTACTTTATGTTTGGGAATGAAACATTCTTCATTCTACTTTTGAATTTGTTCTATCTTTTAATGACAAGTTCAAAAATACAACAGAAGGGGCGATTCAAATTTTGGGAGTGGCCTCTTGTCCTAATGACAAAGGAAGGCTTGCGTATATACATCCTTTTAAGCATTCTCCGGACTCTTGCTTTGTAGGGGCTTCAATATGCATCGGGCTGCCATTTTCTATCTTTTAATCATGCTTTAAGCAATTTATTAAGGAGAAAAAAATACAAACTCATTATTACCTCCTCCGCCATTAGTAACATAATCCTCGTCTGGAATATCGGAGTCATGATCAGGAACCATCTTGAGCTCATTGAAACGAATGCGTGGTGATTCAACAATGCTACGCACCCGCTCAAGCTGTCTCCAGGCCCGAGGGGACGGAGCGGGGGCAATGGCATTGTTCAATGACCCACTTCTCCTATAATATTTACTATTGTTGTTATCTCCCCTCCTCCTCCTAACAAGCTCCCCACAACACAAACACCACATCTCAACCTCCTTCTCCTCCTCTTCCTCGTCCTTGTTTCTATTATCAAATGTCTTCTTCTTTGTAAATCTCTCATCACCCTCCTGGTTCTGCTTATTCTGCAGAATGATCCCCAACAGAGATTTGTACCTGTTGTCACATTCAGAACCTTCCTTCTCGGTTGCGTAGGAAAGAAGACACGTGTCACACATACGCTTTATGTCGGAAAGCTTACTATGGAGGTGGCAATATACAAGGGACGAAATGTCTTTCTTGTGAGCTTCACACATTGATTCATTGTAGTTCGGTGAAGAAGACGAGCACCTGCTACGAGACAGGACATAATCTATCCTCGTACACAGCAAGCATGGAATGTTAAGCTCGAAAAACTTCGCAAATTCGTCGGATAAGAGTGCCAGAAATCCGTCGATGA